TCCCTTTCTCTCCCCAGGACACTGTACAGGTAGACCTTGCAGGACTGAGCACTAGAAAGGGGAGCCTTGGGAATAAAGAACTGAGAAATAGGTCAGGTAAAGGCAGGAGCTAGAGAAAAAGATACTTGATCTCTGTGTATGAAGTCCTGACCCTCCCCAGAATCTGGGTATGCAGGAATCCAACCAGAATTGTAACCCTGTGCAGAAACTACATTTCTATAATATGACCTTTTCTCCTTTCTTTCTTTCTGACTCCAACTGGCCTCACCCAGCACCCTGACTCCCGTCCCCTTCTCCCCTGCAGGCTCACGCCCTTCATCATTAAGCCCGCAGGACAGCCTTAGCAATAAAACTGACCATAGAGACTGTTTCAATCAAACTAAAGAAAACATCTAGGCCTCAGGAGAAATTCAGTTCCAGATCCAGAAAAGTGGAACGACCCCACTAACCACGTCTTTGCAAAACCAGACAAGCTACACCATGGTTGACATCAGAACCAGATGCAATGATCACTGCCCCCTACCCTAGCACTGAGCAGTAGAGACCATGACCCTAACTCTCTTAGTCACCACAATTAATAATTTTTCCCTAATAACCCATCCCAGGAAGCCACCGGGGAGCCAGGGCTTTGAGCCAAGTTCACCTGTGACTCTGGCATCATTTCCTTAAAAATAAAACTTTACTTTTTTGGTTGCAAACTGCTGTTCACATTTGATTGGGCTTTGTGCACAGGCCAACAGACTCCTTTAGTTCAGTAACAGAAGCGGCACAGAGAAGATTCAGAACACTTATTAACTGGACTTTCACATTAACTGGACTTTCACATTGACCTTTGAGAGAGACACACGTGAGATGAACTGAGTAGCTCTACAAAGTCTTTGAACACTTAGTTGACTTTGAAACCACAGTCCACAGAAAGTGGGTAAGGAGATGTGGCCTAATCTTCACTGGGTTGACCACTTGCTAAAATTAAAAAAACAAACAAACAAAAAAAAAACCACAAGTCCAGATGGTTTCAACAGAATCCTAAATCTCATAATGTAATATTCAAAATGTCCAGGATAAAATCTAAAATTATTGGACACTAAAAAACGAGGAACAACTAAATACTGCTTAAGAAAAAAGACAAACAACAGATGCAAACCCAAGGTGACCCAAACATTAGAATCACGAAATATTTTAATGTCGCTATTACAACTGTGGGGGAAATACAACTTTTCGGAATTTCTCCTCTAAAAAAGCCGTAACCTCCGGAGAATTTCCAAAAATTATGAGAACTAGAGCTATAGTTATTTGTCTGGTTAATTGCTGTTATCTAACAAGATAATAAAATTTCCAGTTTCCCTGGGAGAGTAAAGTGCTTGCAGCCCACCGAGGATCCCTATGTGCCAGGGAGACAGGCTCACTATTTTCCTAGATATTTACATGTTAAAAAGATGAAGCCTCGGAAACATTCCTTGGTTGTAAACGTTGAACCCATGGGGTTATCTGGCTCCTAGAGAGATTTTATTTACATATCAAAGAGTTGGAGTTTGGAGCCCACCATCGGGTTTCCAAGGAGACTTTTGGGGGGGGGGGGAGCTGCCTACTTCCTCTTTGTAAGCAGAGGGGAACCGTTTTTCTTCTCATCTGAGGAGTGTCTGGCTACTGATGCAGGGAATTGTCCATCGGCTCTCACGGGTCACCTAAGAATAAGATCTGGGTGAAGAAATATTTTACCCAGAGCCATCTTTGCACATTCAGGATAAAATTAATAATCGGCCCAGGAAGTATGGACATACACTTTTAGAATAAATAGAAACCAAATTTCTCAGGGAAAAAAAGCAGATGTTACATAAAGAACCAAATGACTTAAAAGAAGAGAGAAAAGGTGATATAGAGGGAATTAAAAAGAGAAATGGCAAAAAACAAATAAATAAACCTAATAAAGTAGTAGACATAAACATGAATGTATCGATAATTGATTAGAATGTAACTGATATAAAAACACCAGTTAAAAGATAGATATTGTCAGATAGGATAAAAATAAAAAGAAGACACAACTATTTCATATCTACAGGAAATCCACAGGAAGCATAATGATCCAGATAGATTAGAAATGAAAGACTAGAAACCGATAAATGATTAAATATTATCTGTAAAAGATGAAATTGCTTTAAGATTACCACACAAAGCTGATTTCAGAACAAAAAAAATTACCATAGTTAAAAAAAAATCAATGTACAAAAACAATAATGCCTTATAACCAAGTGAGGTTTATCCCAGCAATGAAAGGCTGGTTCAACAGTTGAAAATTAATTAATATACTTCACCATGTAAACAGGATTGAAAATAAAAGTCACACAATCATATCGATAGAGGCACAAAAAGCATTTGACAACATTTAACATTCATTTAAGATTTTTAAAAAACTCAGAAAATTAGTAACAGAAGGGAACTTTCACATTTGATAAAGGTCATCTCTTACAGAAAAACATCATTCTTAATGTTAAGCTACTAAATTCTTTTACCCTGAGATAATGAACAAGACAAGGATGTACGCTTTCACCACTCTTATGTAATATCATACTGGAAATTCTAGCCATTTCAAGAAGGCAAAAAATAAAAAGACATTCAAATCGGAAAGAAAATCCTAAAACCATCTCAATTCACAAACATATTGTCCACACAGGACATCAAAAGAAATCTACAAAAACAGACAACAACCAAAAATCCTAAAAGTAATAAGAATTTAATAAGATCACAGTATATATACATCAGTTTATAAAAGCCAATAATGTTTCTATGAACTAGCTATGAAAATTTGAAAACAAAAATTTAAATCTATAATAGTTAAAAATATTAAATACATAGGTATAAATCTAACAAAAAACGATGAGACTCTGTAAATTAAAAGTATAAAATGTTGAAAAAACATCTAAAAGACCTAAATAAATGGAGAGACATGCAAAGTTTATGAATTGGAAGATTCAGTATAATTCAAATAACAATTTTTCCCAAATAAATCTATACAGGTTTAACATAATCCCAATCAAAATCCATGCAGAAATTATTGTAAGTCAAAAGCTCAGTCTAATATATATATGAAAAGCAGAATACCCAAAACATTTGTGGAAAAAAAGAGCAAATGTGAATACTATTCAAATTTAAGACATTCTATAAAGCTACAGTCTGAAGACAGAATAGTATTGATGACAAAGATAAACACATAGATCAATGAAACAGAAGAGATACTCTAAAAATAGACCCACTCAAATATTGTCAACTGATGTTTGACAAAAGTGCAAAGGCAGTTTAATGGGAGAAGGCCAGTCTTTGCGACAAATGATGCTTGACATAATCAGCATCCATAAAAAATAAAAATAAAAATTTAAAAATCTTGCATCATATATAAAAAAAATTCTATAAACACAAATGTAAACTCATTTAAAATGTAAACCAATACAGCAAAATGTAAAATGTAAAACTATACAACTCTTAGGTGAAAACAAAGGAGAAAATATTATGACATTGGATTGGGAAATCATTCTTAGATTCAACACTAAAATCATTATCTATAAAAGAAAATAAAAATTGGTGAATCGGACCATATTAATATGAAAAACACTTTTGACCTGTTAAGAACACTTTTAATAGAATAAAAAGACCAGTCACAGACTGGAAGAAAATATTTGTACATTTCATATCAGACAAATAACTTGTATTCAGAATATATGAAGAATTCTCAAAACTGAGTAATAAGAAACAAAAAAACGGACAGAAGATTTTAACAAATATTTCACCAGTAAAAGATATGTAGATGGCAAATAAACATATGAAAAGATGTCCAATATATTAGTCATTATAGAACAGAAAAATTAAAAGCACAGTGAGATACTATTACATATCTATTAAAATGATGAAAATAAAAAATAATGACAATTCCAAGTGCTTATGAGGATAGGAAGAAATAGGAACCCTGGCAGTGCTGGTGGGAACGTAAAATGGCAGGGCCACTGTAGAAAAGTCTGGCAGTTTCTTATATACCTAAACATGTACTTACCATATAACCCCATAAACTACATATAGGTATTTATGATAGAGAAATAAAAAGTAATTTTTGCACACAAGAAAACCTGTACTTAAATATATATACCAGCAGTATTTATAATTGCCTCAAACTAGAAACAACCCAAATATCCCTTAATGGGTGAATGGATACATAAGCTGGTTAACACATCCACACCATGGGATACTGCACTTACTGATATACACAGTTACTCGGATGGACTTCAAATGTATTTTCCTAAATGAAGTAACCTGATCTCAGAAGGTTACATACTGTATTATTTCTGTATATGATATTTTAGAGAAGACATAAACACAGAAACAAAGAAAATCCAGTGATTACCAGGGGTTAGGATAGAGAGGGTCAGAATACAAAAAGTGACATTATGAGGACATTCTCTGACAGTGCTGAAATTTTTCTGTATCCTCTCTGTGGTAACGGTTACAAGAATCTATACAAGTAAAAAAATCAGAGTATTATACAATGAAAAAGTGGATTTTACTCCATGTAGAGATGATAAATTAAAGACATTTAAAAAAAATTCTTCTGGAGACTTTGTATAACTTACACTGGCAGAAAATTCTCAGGACTTAAGAGTACAATAAAATGTTTAAATGTTCACCACTTAAAGACTATATCAAGCAGGAGCAAATCAGGAAGCTAGAAGCAGTCAAATAGCAAGTAGGAAGAAGTAATGGTATATGTACTGTCCCATAAATAACAGATATATGTAAGTGCTTAGAATTCCATACTGCCACCCGGACAGGAATGGGAGAGTGCGTGGGAAACATGAAAACCTACGGGAGAGGTGAGATGCCAGAGTAACCTAGCCTCTGCTTCACGTAAAGGGTGTGGTGATGTTCCAGGTTGAATGACTTAACCTTAATACTGACGTCAGCTGAGCTCTGTTCCTAAACATTCCCTAGCACAGACGACTAATATTTGTCAGTACCTCTTCAATGGCACCAGCAGAAATCCTGTGACCTGCAACATTGATCACGTCATCAACTCGAGACATAACATACAAATAGCCTTCTTCATCCATGTAACCAGCATCCATGGTGTCATAATACCCCTGAAAATAAGAATAAATAATGTCTAATTAGGCTATACTATTGGGTAACATAATCAGTTTTAATCTTGGTAAAATATAAAATGTCATAGAAATAAATTTACTGTATACATTTGACTTTTCTCATAACTAGCTTATTGAATTAAATTACTTTTGATTTTTAAAGCTTAATAGAAACTCTTTGCTCCTCTAATAACCAGGAATAAATGAAAGTGTTCTTATGTATGTTCGAGGTAAGCATTTTGAACTTAGATTTGTAAAGTTTGTGAACCAAATTACTTTAGTTTGTTTTTTAAAGTGAAAAGTAATAGCTCAGTATTTCCAATTTGGTATTGCAGAGTAATTCTTTGGTAGATTTCTTCTCTAATTGTGTTAATACTTAAAAGCTTTAAAGCTCTCTATGAATAATTACCAAATAGCGCACAGTTTATTAACATGGACTAGAACTGAAGTCGAGCTTCAGTGAAACATAGTTAATTAGTCAGTATGAAATTAAATTTTTAATCAACTCAAAGGAGCAGCACATCTTCACTGGTCCAGAAGTCACAACAGAATGAAGAATCAGGAAGGATAAGTAGAAAGACAGACATGTTACTTCCCAAATGCTTCTGAGTTACCTTGATACCTACGTTTGTGAGCATGGGCTTTGGGACGAATCCCAGTGAGTCACGATTTGCGTTTCTTAATCTTTCCGACACTCAGTATACTCATCTATTGTATGGGGTAACAAACTATGCTTTATAAGGCTTTTATGAAACATAAAGGAGTTAGTGTATAGAAAGAGGGCAGACCCTGGACAACATGAGCCCACAATAATTGGCACTCATTGCAATTGCTACTGCAATTACTATTAGAGAGACATTGTGTAGTATCCGTTCAACAGCATGGACTCTGGAGCCAAAGTATATGGGTTCAAATGTTAGCTCTGTTACTTCTAAGCTATGGCCAAGTTACTAAATCTTCCTGTGCTGTTATTAACCCCTTAGATGAGAGTTTTGAGGTCCGGGCAATGAGGCAGAGTCCAGATTCACTTCCTCTAGTTTAAACACAAACTGGGACATGGAAGAGCTTTCGGTGTGAAAGGTGATCATGTTAAATCCACAAGCACATCTTACTTGCCATTGGCAGGTTGTAATTAATCATCCTCATATTCTGATGATTTAACTTGGCCCCGCAGGCAGGCAGACTGGGCTGACTGAAGTGTAAGACAAATCTTCCCTGCCACAATCCTCAGGGGCAGGTTTAATCTTGGCTAGTGAGGTCATTTAACTATGCGATCTCATTCTAAAGGAAGCTATTTGAATTCTTGTCATTTGTCTAGTTGATTAGGTTTAGCTGTCCTTCACTCACAAATAAAGAAGATAGAATGCTAATACTTAGACTCACTTTTTCTTTTTAATGAAATTTTGATCTTTCTTTTTATCTAGTGCACAAGGACCAGGTCTCTCTCTCATGGCAGGAAACAGAAGTAAAAAGACAGCAAAAAGATGATTGTGGGATCCTGATGAGCATCATCAACCAAGTTCTGTTATAAGCACAGGACACGTGACCGTGGCTCAGGGGAACAGGTACCGTTATAAGACAGAAAACAGGAAGACACTTTTTGTCATCCAGGTCACTGTTTGTTGGGTATTGAGAACACTGTCTCTTTCCTGTATCTGTGTTTTAAAATGGGATTTTAAAATAAAGAGCTCAGAGTACATTCAAGAAAAAATGTCAAAAAATATGTGAAAAGGTGGAAAAATACAACTTCTGATAGGCCAACTGAATTTTGCTCACATAACCAGGAGCCAAGGAGGTGAAGGGGTCTTGATGACAGTGCAGAATTCTGATCAGGTGCGCGCAGTCTGTGGCGCCCGCAGTCTGTGGCGTCCAACGGAGAGAGTAATATGAAAAGCCCAAAGAAGTTTCACTTTCACAAAATTTTTCCTGATACTGAGGGCTGTTAAATTCCAGAAAAAGCTGCTAAAACAAACTGAGAAATTTTATGTCCAGAGACTTCTAAAAATACATATAAAAATGACTTATTTATGTGGTTTGGGTATTATTATCCCTGAAGTCTGGAAACAGGTCCCGGTAACCTTTCAAAGTTGCTTTGTCATCTATAATTTTAGGAGCAAGTTGCCAAGAACTATAGAGAAGTCTATACAAAGGTAAAAAAAAAAAAGTATAATAAAATTCTTACAGGAAATTTTTCAAAGTATAAATGCTTGAAGGCTTCCTGATTCTTCCAGAGTCCTGAAAAAGCCCCAGGTGGTAACGGCAACCTTACATAAACACAGAGCAGTTAGGGTTACGATGAAGGCGGTAAAAAGGCACATCGATTAGAATAACGTTTTAGTGTGATAGATAATTACAATTCAAATCCTGTCATTAAAATGTAACCCCTAAATTTGCTGGATGGATCATGCTGAATGGAAGCTGAAGCAGTTGACCTCTACATTGCAGAGCCCTTGAGGGATGACTGGAGTTTCTGCAAAGGGCACACAAGGCACACACATTTGGCTTTCAAATAATTATCAGCAGCACTTGTTTCAAAAGGAAGCATAACATTGGCAAAAAGAAACCAAAATGCTTCACTGAGTTATTTTTAAGAGAAATCTCCTTCTACCATGGGCAAATCAATTCTGTTCTTTTTAAAATATTAAGGTACCAACTGCCTGTGTAATTGAATGCTCCAATTAAACATCTCATGAACAGTTGTATCTTCACAATCAATGTGCCTGCCCACTCTGAGAATTCTCTCTCACTGATCCCTCTTCAATTATTTCTTTTCATGACCATACAGAGCTATGTGATATCTCACTCCGATGAACAAAACAGAGTGGTAGTATACATCTCTTTTTTTCCAACCAGTTTCCTCTTAATACCATTATAATTAGCTAGTTATTAAGAATAGGAAAGGAGAAAAAGATAGCGAGACATTATAGGCATGTCATTTGGGCAGCTTCACCAGAAAGCTGCAATTTCATACTCCCCAGGGAACCACCAGCCCATTCCCTGCAGATTACTGGGGAAGGGGTCTAACAAAGGAGAGACAGGCATGTGTGCAGTGAAGTTGGGGTAACATAGGAAAAATGACTGAGAGTCAAACCTGGGAACAGAGATTATTGGCTAGAGGAAGCAGGGCCACTACAACCCTGCAAAAAATTGAGACTATATAATGCCCTAGACAAAGGAACTTGTTCTCTCTGTGTCTCTTGTGGCCTCTCAGCTCTTGGCTCTCCGGTTGCTGTGGCTTTGCTCCTGCCCGTGTTCCCTCCACAGCCATATGGCCACGCGGACCCCACAAGCAATCGACTGATGAACTGCAGCAGGGAAAACAAACTATGCCAGCCTGATGCTGGACTGGACCTGTGCTCCAACATGGAGCGGAAACTCTGGACGCTGGCTTTAGTCCTAGCTCTGCTGAAGCCACAGCGACAGTTCTTCGGTGCTGGGACTGGGGGAAATGGGACCTTGGAAACTCAGAGGTATAATTCCACAGGAACAAAACTTTCTATGATACTTCATCCTCCTTGGAGGGCTTCTGTAATTCTTATCCAGTGGCACCCACGAACCCCACTTCCACCAATAGTACGCCTATATTTCCTTCTTCCCTCCATATTACCAAACAGATATTATGCACATGGCAAGGGCTTAATATCTATCTATCTATTATCTATCTATCTATCTATCTATCTATCTATCTATCAATCATCTATCTATTATCTGTAATAAATTCTTATATCGGTTCCCTGGAGGAAGTGCCAAATAACAAAAAACAATCACCTAATGAGTTTTTGGATACAGAAGCCTTTTAGATGCTTTATAGCTTGTGAGTTTAGAGACTGTAAAACTTAAGGATTTTCAAAAACCTTTCCTCCTGTACTCACACAATAAAACCACTAAGTTAAACAGTTACATCACAGTGCTGCTGCTGAGAAAACTGGACAGGAAGCAGCAGGGCTGCTGCTCACAGGAGGCAACGGCACAGGTGCTCCACCGGTCAGACCTGGCGTTCTCACCTTCTGCCAGGCAGAAGAGAGCAGCTCACAAGTGGGACCAGCAGCCCAGCGGCAGTTGCCCATTTCCACCGCGTCCAGCGTCCCAGTAGGTCCTCCCTTGTTAGATCTTCTTTTTGTAGCATTTAAAAATGTATGTGAAAGCATTTTGTAATCTGCTCAGAACCTAGAGATGCCGCTGTGTTGTTGCTGTTGCCTTGTTAGCATTATTCTTCACCAGGACACCTGCTTGAAGGCAGCAGGAGAAAGTAGGTAATCCCCTCAGGCCCTTTTAACTGACTTTGTTATGTTAATCCTTCTAAATCACCATGCAAATAATTTCACTGCATCAGTTGAACTGTTAACATTCTACAAACCAGTGGGCAAACATTAATTATTAAACACAGAACTAAATTAGGAATATGGCGACCACTAAAAATCATTCTAAATTTATTAGCCACAGTTTCAAGATGCTGAGGATAAAGAAGTGAAGAGGACGCTAAGAAGAGGTGACAAATTATATGAACTAAAAGAAATATCGCTCATAAGCGAAGCCAACTATATGCAAACAACAACAATAAACCTGATGGAGAGGCATTCTGCTTGCACATTAAGTGAGAAATAATTTTCAGCTGTTCTCAAGAAATATATCATCATATAGAGTTCATTCTGTCTTTCTTGGTGACATTTTTTAAACAGACACATGAGTATAAGAATATCTCCCTACAATAAGAAAAATAAAAGGTAACTGTGATCATGAATGGCAACTGACAGGCTGGATTGGGGACAACAGGGAGTAGTGGGGTCTGAGGCAAATTAGAATATCCATGGCAGGTTTAATGAGAGCAGCTGTTTTGAGTTCCACATGATTGCTGGTACACAGACATTCGGATTATTGTCCATACTAAGAGCGATGTATATAGAAGGGCACACTGTCTAACAAGCTTCTCTTTCATTTTCTGTACCCCAAATTCAAGACTTTAGTCCACCAGCTATCCTCACACTGTCTCCTCACAGTAAATGGAGATACCTAAGTGTATGCAATAATTAATACATAGTGTATTGAACACTTCCTGGTGGTTTAGTATGTACCTAATTCAGTGAGTATGCATGGGACCAAGACTTTAACATTTTCCAGTACAAGTCTTATTGGTGAGAAAGGGAATATCTTATACTTCCCAGAAATTGGATACATTTGTAATCTCTATTCTTCAAAGAAGGTGCCTGATAATCTGTGTTTTCTCTTCCTGAGAAAAATATGGTACTAAGAATTGGTAACGGATAGATTATATTATTATAATTAATAAAAGCATAGAGGATTAAAAGTATAGGTAGCCATCCTCAGACAAAAATAAGCTTTAAGGACACAGGCTTTCTTAGCTTATACACCAAACTTTAAATATCTGCATAAATTTTCTGAAGAACAGGAATAGTATGGCTTTTTATACCATCCCTCATTCCTGTGAGAAAGGTCTACATAAGTATATATACCTGTAGACCTTGGAAATTAACATTAATGTACCAAAGGTATGATCTAAGGAGACAGTCAGCAATGAGAAGGAGAAAACTAAGGTTAAACACTGATATTAAAGAAGAACCAAGAAGTAAAAATAAAAAGAAGACCACTGAGCAAAAGTAAAATAAAAGTCAGAGATGTATGAGAACTAAGAGAAACAGTATCTTAGGAGCCACTAGAGTTTTAATACTGACTGAGTGTTCAACAAGGTCAAATGAAGTGCAAATATTGTTTGGTAGTGGGTTCAACAGAGGTCATGGCACTCAGTAATTGAGATCTTTTGCACATCCTCAGTATTCCCATTTCAATAGACTGAAAGAAGCAGTAGCTGGAGTGGTTAAGGAGTAAACAGGAAGTGGATGCAGTGAGGTTAGACTATACTTTTGAAAAGTGTGGGTTACTGGAATGAGAGATATAAATCAGTGGTTTAATGCAGAGAGGCAGGGTGACTAAGAACAACAAAGATCTGAGTAGAAGTAGCCAGTGGAGGGAGGATGAAAAAATATGAAAGGTGGATAAGAAAACAGCAGAGGAATTATTCAATGGTTTCATTCATTCATTCATTCATTCATTCATTCATTCATTCATTTATTCATTCATGCATTAACCCATGCATTTATATCCTTGATTTAATCAATAATATTGGGTACTTGGTATTCCCCAGTCACTGTGTTAGACATTGATGATACAAAGATATAAACTCTGGCTTCAGACCCAAGAAGATCCTGGTATACTGTGCACTACAAACAACGAGTATTCTTTAGAATATAGATAGGGAGATGACTGTCATTTTATTCCATCGAGTTAATGAAATAACGACAAAGTGTAAATATTTAAGATGTTTGTCACACAAGTTTCACAGCAGGTGGTTAAACCCTGTACCGCCAAGAGTTCTTTGAAGAAAAGATTTTAGCACTAGCCAAGGTATAAACCTGCTGGAAATGGCATTAAGTGTCTGTTCCAAGTAATTTTTAAGTTACCTCCGGATAATTACTTCATTATCCCCTGAGGAACAGGCTGGAAAGCAAGATGTGAAATTGCATTTGGTAATTGGTAATATAAAATAAACAAACATTGTATGTTCTTCACGAATAAACTCTGGTATCTTTAAAAATCCAGATGTTGTTATTTGAATGTGGAAAAGAAACTCTAAAGGAAAACTCTTGGAAGATGCTACATAGTAGTCCTAAAGAAAAGCAGAAAAGAGAGCATTCCAGAATTGGAAGTATTTGTGAACATATATCAATGAAGTAGAAAAACATGTGAGGAGAGAAGCACTATTGCTCCAGACAGAAGCGAGGTATGTATGAGCTCTGGAGCAGACAGCAGAACTCTTTTAGAGTATTCCAAGTGAACACTATCCTTATGGCAACCGAATCATTATTTTGTATTAAGCGCAGGCCTTCCTTCTGGAATAGTGGGTGCACGTGACAGAAAAAGGACATTTTTTTTCCCCTGTAGTTACAGAAATGCACTGGACTGGGAGAAGGAAGGAAAATTTATGACAATACTATGAAATATGCTGGTTAATGTCTATATTCAACTTTCCAATCCAAGATCAAATGTTACCACCCAGCTCTTCCAATCTTCCAAGCAAAGTAAAAGGGGAATTTTGTTACAACTGGTCCAGCAGTGAATCAGTTCCTCTTAGCATAGGTCCTTTCCAAACAGACCAATCTTAAGGGGAAAGAGGAATAACTAAGGCAGCAGTGACGTGTGTGTGTGTGTGTGTGTGTGTGGTGAGGGGGAGGCATCAGAATGCAGAGAA